AAAAAATGATTTTGTCTGATATGCCACCTTAGACAATGATGACCAATATTCCAGTAAAGTGGAGGAAGTTATTAGGACCAAACGAATATGAAATGTTGAACATCTAACAGATCTCCTCTGAACTGGACAATCACAGATCAATGCCAGCAATCGGTAAACTTTCAATTCTTAATCATTGTGAGAGATGAAAACAATAGCAAAAAGCAAAAATTGTGCAAACTTACGAGATGACTGGTTTCATACCTTGAGTGAAGGCTACTGTAGAGTTGTATATTGTTAACAATTGTATCATGTTTTCTGAATACCCATTAGGCCGGCACCTACTGCGACACGGGACTACAGTTTATACGGTCTCATCCGAAGAACAGGATTCCACGTTTCACAGTGGGATTCAAACTTCTGACGTAAGGATCAACTCCCTATTCCATGGCACTCTAACCACTGCGCCACGCAGGCGACATAGGAGCAATGTTACAGAACAACAAACTGTTCGCATTTATCCACGTTTTCATACTCCATTCGTCGCCTGCGTGGCGCAGTGGTTAGAGCGTTTGCTGTAGAGTCGTGAAGTAAGAAGAAGACTCTAAGAACTTGTATTTATTACATTGTAAATAATGTACATATCTTTTTATTATTCATAGGAAGTTCAAACTTTTCAATTGCCAATAAGATATATATGCACATTTTGTGTAACTATTGATATCATGCTAAAACAATTAACTTTCGGGGCAATTTACTCCCTCCCCAAAACTGAAACTAAACTTCATAGGACATTTAAAGATTATGTACATCTGGTACCTTAAATTATGACAAAAAATCAAATGCATTGACAAACTTGTAAAATAAAGTTGGACAATATGTACATTTTGCTCTGTTAAAAGTATGTTGCCTGTCTTCTATTCCTATCACTTTTGGTACAATGGATTTGTTATGGTCAGTTCATGCTAGACTATCTCAAATTATGTTTCATAAACAACCCTATATGTATTGTAAAAGTGAAAGAGAAGTTTTAGAAGGTATGGAATTTTGCCTTTTTTTTTTAGACAAGAAAAAAATATATTGTTTTGTATACATGATCAGAAAATTTATAACTCTATTACCTTTAGTCAACGGAAGTTCACCTAATAAAATGTTAATTACATTAAAACCAATTGTTTTTAAAGTCGTTTGATAAATATGCATGCTAAGATCACTCCATAGTGGGGATACCTTTTCACTATTAATAGAAATATGTTGAATTGTCTCAACTGGATGTTTACAGAAAGAAAAGATATTATAGGAAACAGCATTGATTTTTTTAACAGGTAAAATTCTATTGATAATTCTATATTGTAGCCATTGGATTGAAGAATCTTTTGGTAGTCTTATAGCAAACAGTAAAAAAACATCCTTAACACATATCTCTATACCATAATGGCCGAACTCTTAATTTCATTTCTGTACAGAAGTAGGAATAATAATATTTGCATTTAACTGTTTGTATATAGTTTTAGTACATCTATTTTCAAACGAAAAGATATCTAATGCAATAGAATATATGGAGTAGAAGATCTTTTGAATAAACCTTTGTTTACAAAAAATTTCATATATTTTGATATTGCACTCATTAGACTTTCATATTATATGATGGATATTTGAATACCGAATTTCTGCTGAATAATGACATGCGATATACAATTTCCTTCCTCATCTGAAAAATCTTCAATAAGATCCACACCCTTGTCAAAGCAGCTTCTTATAAACGGTGTTTTTGTACCAACTCTGATATTTGTATTATACCATACATGAATGTTCCATGTTGAACTTACTATCAAATGATTTAATAACATGAAGGATAGACTTAAAACATCTTGCCCAAAATAGTTTTGGGGGATTACACATTCAGAGATAAATACCTTTTCAGCCAAGCACATTTCAAAGACATAATAAAATTGCTAATTTCCACCATTTTTATTCCCCCATGCTGATAATCCTGAATTAGAACTGTACGTTTAATATTATCACATTTTGCATTCCAAATAAATTCTAAAATATCTTTGCATAATGATGAGATTATCTTCCCTTTTAGAATAATGAGTGATATGAACAAATGATTAATTTTTGGAATATTTAAAGATTTTACTTGACCAATTGGTGTTAGAATTCTTCATTTCCAATGTTGTAGCATGCTTTTTATTTTTGGAATTTGTATGCCATAATTTAAAATTTGTAATTTGTTGTAGGTGAACTGAAAAGTTAATACCTCATAAGTTAAAAGTTGTAAAGCCCCAGTCGAGTTTCCATCTAGGATGATGAAGGACCTAACTTAAAAACTTTTTTGAGCCTATCCATATTATTTTTGTTTAAGAGTTGTTTTACTTTTAAACCAGATATTTTTAAGAAATAATGTAACGCAAAATGCATACCATGCCTGTGTCTCAAATATAATCACTCCTGGGGTTATTTGGAAGTTGACCTCTTTTGAAAAAAAGGGGGTTTTAGGGATGGTTACTTAAATGCACATAAATTCTGGCTGCCAAGTGGAACACTATATTTGCACAGTGCATATCTACAAATCTTGGAAACACCATGTCCTTGTCCAAACAAAAAATGATTTTGTCTGATATGCCACCTTAGACAATGATGACCAATATTCCAGTAAAGTGGAGGAAGTTATTAGGACCAAACGAATATGAAATGTTGAACATCTAACAGATCTCCTCTGAACTGGACAATCACAGATCAATGCCAGCAATCGGTAAACTTTCAATTCTTAATCATTGTGAGAGATGAAAACAATAGCAAAAAGCAAAAATTGTGCAAACTTACGAGATGACTGGTTTCATACCTTGAGTGAAGGCTACTGTAGAGTTGTATATTGTTAACAATTGTATCATGTTTTCTGAATACCCATTAGGCCGGCACCTACTGCGACACGGGACTACAGTTTATACGGTCTCATCCGAAGAACAGGATTCCACGTTTCACAGTGGGATTCAAACTTCTGACGTAAGGATCAACTCCCTATTCCATGGCACTCTAACCACTGCGCCACGCAGGCGACATAGGAGCAATGTTACAGAACAACAAACTGTTCGCATTTATCCACGTTTTCATACTCCATTCGTCGCCTGCGTGGCGCAGTGGTTAGAGCGTTTGCTGTAGAGTCGTGAAGTAAGAAGAAGACTCTAAGAACTTGTATTTATTACATTGTAAATAATGTACATATCTTTTTATTATTCATAGGAAGTTCAAACTTTTCAATTGCCAATAAGATATATATGCACATTTTGTGTAACTATTGATATCATGCTAAAACAATTAACTTTCGGGGCAATTTACTCCCTCCCCAAAACTGAAACTAAACTTCATAGGACATTTAAAGATTATGTACATCTGGTACCTTAAATTATGACAAAAAATCAAATGCATTGACAAACTTGTAAAATAAAGTTGGACAATATGTACATTTTGCTCTGTTAAAAGTATGTTGCCTGTCTTCTATTCCTATCACTTTTGGTACAATGGATTTGTTATGGTCAGTTCAATGCTAGACTATCTCAAATTATGTTTCATAAACACAGTCAGAAGAGAGAGAGAGAGAGAGAGAGAGAGAGAGTACTTCTCAAAACAATGCATTGTTTAATTGTTACATAACCTTAGAGGCATTGTGTGTTTTGATGACACTCTATTCAAAAGGTGGCAATTTTCACGTTACAGTGTACAGTAATTAGTGTAACCTCATACCGGAAATAATTTTTAAAGGATATTTGACACAAAAAATCTTTAAAATATTCTTTGAAATTAAATCGGATCTGAAATAAATATGAAAATTTAAATGTGTGGTAATTGCACTTTCATCAGAATAAAAAGTATATTTAAATAGATACTGAGAGTTTATTTAAATAAGTTAACTTTTTTCATCCATTGCTATTATTTAAAAAAAAAATATTAAAAAAATAATTAACATTTTTTTTAAAAGAGGTATATACAAAATAATGCTTTGTAATGCTATGTAATGCCAGCAATACTATGAGTTTGAGAAAGTATTGCATTTCATTACCATTACATGGAATGTAAATTATTTGGCATTACACATTACTAGCATTACTTCGAGTTCAAGTAATGCATTGCAATGCATTAACGCTACATTTAACATTACCCTAAGCCTGATGTTGGTACCATATATTAAAAAAATTATGTACCTGTAAATCTATTGATGATTTTTTTTACCATAGGTGCAAATTGAAAAAAAAATAGTTGAAAGACTTACATATTCAAGAAACAGATTTTAACCTACAACCTTTGAATGGGTAAACCAAGACCACGTGTCCTGATTTTATATCATAATAACATTTGTAGTGGTGATAAGGTAGAATCCCTGATTAGTTATATGACAAAATATGATGTTATAGGATACTGAAAAGTGAAAGTTTTGAATTAAGTTACTGCATGTATGTTATCGTAAACAATACAGTCGCAAAATCTACATTTTCGAAATATATGTAAAAAAAAAGAAAGAAAAAAAGTAATTTGCTTTCAGCAATGAAGGATATCTCTTGCAGTCTATCAGTAATATTTACCTCAAAACAGTAGCAGCTTCAGAGCAAAGAAAACGTTACTCTTTATATAAACAATTTGCCCCTGTATTATTTTCGCCTTCTTGTTCCTAATAGTCAGTGACCGAATTGAAAAGTGGGTTATTCAACAAAGTTATAGTATAGTTAGCTATGTCCCTTTTAAAACAAGTACCTCGGTGAAATTTAAACGGGGCGAAATCGTTTTAAGTGTTACAGAGGGTAAATAACAAAGGGCGAAAATAACCCCGTGTTTTAAATTTTGCTATCTCGTTCTCTTCTTCATCGCTGATTCTTTGTGTATGTTATTTAGGAAAAATCATTCTGCGATTATTGAACCAAAAATATTTAAATATTGTACTTTTAAAGTATTTAAACTTTCTACTCGATAGGGATACGCAAAATCAACGTTATGAGGCGTGAAACAGAAGTAATGGAAAGTTACTAACCATCAAAGTTTTAAGGTTCATGGATGCAAGCTTATATTGGATCTAAAAGAAATTTTATCATATCACATAATGGATGTTTTTTGCTGGTGTTAGAGGTATGTGAAAATTCTTCCATAATTCTTAATTTAAACAAAATACATATTGTGGACAATCATTTTTTCTAAAATTATCATTAGCATGCAATCAATTACTTGCTTTTAAAATCAGTAAACGATTTTAACTGGAAATCAAGTCTTAGCAAATTCCTAAAAGGAGACATCAGACATTTCTGCAAACAAGAGCCTGCTGTCATAAGGTTTTAATTAGATTGTTTTGAAAACCACAGTAAGAAACAAATGATGAGTGAAGAATCAAAAAGTAATGCCAAAAAAAAAAAAAAAAATAATTATTTTATTTGCCCGTATTTTCCCCATTTCTGTTAATCAGTACTGTTATCTTTGGATTTTTTTTCTGAGAGTAAATGACAGTTTTCATATGTTGAAAGTGATAGATCCCACTCCGAAAAAAAAATTCATTAGTCTATAGAGAGTCCTTAAAGCCAAAAAAGGTTCCGACTTTGCAAATTTTAAACACATTAGAAACAATTTCAACAGTATAATAAAAAAGGCGAAAATTACAACACACCTCACAGATATGTTTCAACTTTATTTGAAATTATGTTTTCAAAACCAAAGTTGCCTCTGATAAATCATATTACAATATACATCAGAAACTGATGTAAATACTTAAGGACAGATTATGCAAAGACCATTTTGTCAAAAATATTGAAAATAAAAACTTAAGTCATGTTCAAAGGAGTAAAACAAATAACTTTAACCGAGTAGATTTTCATTTTTGATTCAAAGTTTTACAATAACTGGATTGAAGGTGACGAAAATGTGTTTAGATTGATTAGGATGGTTGCAGAAAGGTTGAATTTTGAACATCATGGAAAGTTTTCTTAATATTTTAGAAATTTATTATATGCACCAAGATAGGTCCAAAAATATATACCAATCCAGGTATCCATTTTTTGTTTGTATCATCTGTCCTTAATACCTATTTTACTTCTGTTTCATCTTGATAACAGGCTGGTAGAAAAAAATGTGTACACAAACATTTGTTTACCTTATATGGCTATTGTTATCATTGTGCACGGCCGAGCTTACCACGAACAATTGTCCAATTAGTGACTGAATAGAGGAGTATGTTGGCCTGCTACATGTTTACATTGTACTTCTAAAAGGTGGTTCAGGTCAATCTACGATGCGATATTTAATTGACTGGAAAAAAAAAAGAAAACATTTGTTTTTGTTTTGTTGTTGCTTTTTGTTGTTGTTGTTGTTGTTGTTGTTGTGTGTGTGTGTGTTTTGGTTGTTGTTGATTTTTTTTTAATGCAAGGATTAGAAATTATGAAACATGTCCCCGGTCGTGCTCTAAATAAGAAAGATAGGAAAATGAAGGACATGACTTTCACCTAATAACTTGATATTGGTGTATGTAATTAGTTGTCACTAATTGTTGACTGGAAATTCAAAGATATACAATATACATAATAAAAGGTAGTCTGTGTCAAGTTCAGAATATTTTCTAATTTATTTAAAGAACACCAGCGCTTTATCGATACGGAGAACGAGCAGTATCTCTTTGGCATTTAAATGGCCAATAAAGGATTTTTTTACATTACAATACGCGGGAAAACGTGTGTTTTGTCTTTGGATAGGGAATCCACCTGACATTTGTATTCACCGAAAGGCAGACGCAAATCGCAGTATAGCTTTGAGAAAGTTAATTTAACAATTGTTTGTAAATATGAACATGGAAATAATAGATAATGATAGACATACTGTATTTCATCTATGAAATGCATGAACAAACGGTCATGGTTCTTTTTTTTTTTTTTGATTGCTATGGATTTGGTCTTTTCCAAGGTAAAATTCCTGCAGTATTCATAGTAACCCGTTATGCAATTCAATTCATCCAGCTGATTTGTAGGTTTTAAGTCACGTTGATACCTCATTTAGCATGAAAATGTAGTCTGCCGCCAGAAAATATAGTTCCCATGAAAGCATGTTTGTCAAAAGAGAAATTTTAATACATAACTGCAGAAAAAAATGCCAAAAGGAATACTTATTAATGAAGTTGAATGAATTTTAGACATATTGAAGTGCATTTCCATTGAGATTATGCAAATACTGAAACGTAACATAACTTTTCTGCTTAAGATGTTTAAATGTGCTAGTCACTTCTTAGCTATACTTCCGTGAATAATTTACCTTATTCATTAACAGTCTTGCTGTAGTCTCACGAAATCTCGCCAGAGCTTCTGTGAACTCCTCGGGTATTATAATTTGCAGAACATCGAAAAATAAAAAGGTTCCGAACACATGTTTAGGGGTGTATAGACCAATTTCATTGTTAAGGTGTGTTGGAAAAATTATGGAACGAGTCGTATTCAGGTATATTTAAGGAATTTTTTTTAAAGTTTTGTGTGAATTATTGGTGCATAAATCACACAGGCTTGTCACGTAGGCATATTTTAAGGAGCGCGCTATTTTAGATACACATGCTTTATTATAGAGGTTAGAATCATTGAGTTGCAAAGAACAGATGAATTTTCTCTATTGTTCAAAATTGTATCAATCATTCTGTTAGATTTAGCCGTTTATGTTAATATTTATTAATGACACGCTTAAAATACATTTATGTATAAAATGCATTGATCTGAAAACATTTATTTAGTATATTTCATATTATGTAATTAACTGTAGCTAAACTTTTAATAAAATTGTAGGGAAAAGGTGTTATAAATTTTAAAAATCTGTTCTCAATCCATTTTTATTTATAATAACAATAAAATGCATGTATTTTCATATCACATCAATTTCATTTTCTTGCCCTAATAAGGTCTGGGCAGTACTAATGTTATGATCCAAATACTGTAAACGTATTACATTTGGCTGTGTATTCTTTTTAATATTTCAAAATTTTAAAATAAATAAAATAAATAAATAATAATAATAATAATAAAAAATAACATAAAAACTCCAAAACGAGATGTTCCATGTAAGATCCCACAAGAATCACTTTATATCATTTTGAGAAAATGTGACTCGCATTATTTCAATTTAACATTGGAACTTTAATAGACACATTCCAAAAGTTTCTTAGAAGGGTAGTACGGCTCAGATTGTAATTATCATTCAAATAATAGAGGGAAGTCCCTTATAATAAAAGTGAAAAAGACAAATAGAATAGTTAAAGGCTTTTGTTGGAAATGGAAGACACTAAATACCGTGACGATTCTTAAGATGACAGCAAGGTCATTTCCGACCACCTAGTGTATATGTTCATTACAATAGAAAAGAGAGAAAACATTATGACATGAAGTGACATTATTCATCAAAGCAAAATGAAGCCTTATCATCAACATTCTTTATGCTTGTTATTTTCCATTCTGAAAACCTTTGTGTTCAATTGAATAACAGTGGTGCATAAATGGCTGTGCCAGTCAGGCGTATTGCACAATTTTAAAGAAAAATGCATTTATTTCTCATATGCAATAAAGATTTATCAAGTCAATGTATTTTGAAATAATTTATTCTCTTTTTGGCGATGTTCTCACGATCAATATATCCCCCTTTTTATTTTAGTGAAATACAAATACGCACACGTCACGTCCAGGTGATCATGAAGAATTACCATCAGAGGAAATCTCAGATATATTCTCCTGATTGTGCAAGTTATGCAAAGAAAAGAGCAACATTTTAATACAGATGCTTAGAAAGAAAACACGTACGTAGCTGCTCTCATACTAGACAAGTGATTGTCATCAAAACAATACGTGCTACGCCTAATACTGTGTACTACATATATGCCAGGTTCTTAAATATACCAGATAATTCGCTATAAAACAAGCTGGTAATTAAGGTCTTCTGTCTTCTATGGAAGACCTTCTTGTTATTCTTAAGTTTCTTTTTCACTTTTATTTTTATTGAGATCTTCCGTCTTCAGCGGAAGACCTTTTTATTATTCTTAGGTTTCTTTTCCACTATATTTATTATTATTGTTTTTTGTTCTTACCGATTTCGTGCACGCGATTTCTCGGAAACGGCTTGCTCGATTTTCATGAAACTTTCAGGTCTGATAGAACGTCAGAAAATCTAGATATATATATATTTTTTTATTTTGATGACGTCACTTTCGGTTTGGACATTTCCGCGATTAAGTGATTTTCGGAGGGTCACTTTGTCCGAGCTTTTTCTCGAAAAACCACTAAATACAGAAGCATAATTTCAGTGACGATAAAGCTACATACATGTATGTAGAAGTGAATTTTGTATTTCATTAGCACCGGAAGTACGAAACGCCGATACTCGCTATGGACCTAAAAAAGTCATATCGAGAATTTCAGAATTTCTATCAATTTTTTTTTCAGTATCTCTTTACCTGTAAATGTTTTGTAAAACATATAGAACAAAATTAGTGCAAAATTACAAGATCTTTCCATCGATATCATAGAAAAGGGGCTGGCCCCTAAAATAAGGGGTCTAAAGGGGCCGAAATATTTTTCTTGATATCTCAAAAAGTATTGAGAATTTGTAATATATCAAAGAAGCATGTTGTTCAAAATGACAAGTAACAGCTAGTGGGGCCGTCAAAAGACGTCGAATGACGTTACTTCCAGCCAAACAGGAAGTAGTCAAAAAATGCTTATTTTCACAGATATTGGCATGGAATTGAATTAATAATATTACAGAGGATGTCCACCCGTATTTTCCAATAAGTATCGTCACTTTCGTTTACTTCCGGTTAAGCCGAGTTTTCAAACTCAAAAGTCCACTCAACAAATACACCAATACAAATAAGGAGCAGATCAACCACGGACCTCTAAAACATCAAGATGTGATCAGGTGCCATGAAGGAGTGAGCTTCCCCTGCCGACAGGTCGGGATCGGGAAAACGAAAAAATCTGTAAACAATTCAGTGTGTTTGTTTGTTTATTGTTTAACGCCCCTCTTGAGAATTTTTTACTCATATTACTTATTTTTGCAGATATTGACAGAAAATTAAGGTATTCCATCCCCAATAGCCTCAGACTAAATGAATCTGAATACATAACAGATGTGTAAGGGTGGAATATCCAGTATATTTAGACAAAATTCCCATTTATTACTATCAGCAAGTAAGAATGGAACGTGTCCTAATTTGTGACCTTGACCTTTGTTGACGAGTTATTCCCTCTTTTTCTTAAATGATAAAAATCAATTTAAAAAAAAAAAAATTATACGGTAAAAAAAAAGTTTTCAATTGTCATTCTATTTTTAACGATTTAATGCATCTTTCCTCCGCAGTATTTTACGATATTCTTATTATTTGATTTTTTTATTTTAAAAATAAATTGCTTTTCTCCATACAGACTTCAATGCAATTTCTGTTAATTAATTACTGCTTAGATAATTACAATTTTGAAACTTTCTCTTGGTAAATCCTTTTCTACTGTAAAATACTGTAAAATGTGAAATAATATCAGAGTATTATATACGTGATGGATATTTAAGGATAGAGAATTAGGTCCTATTAGGGATGGAAAACCTTAAATGACTAACATGACTAAACCTCATTTTCTGTGGGTTGGCGTCACTTCTCACGTATTGTCAATTAACAATGGCTATTTTCATATTTATGTCGATTCGATATATCCTGGTGAACTTGAGATAAAAGATACCACAGAGTCTGACACATATGTTTCATATTTGGATATTTTACTTGAAAAAGACATTAATGGTAATCTAACAACCAAGCTTTATGATAGACGTGATGACTTTAACTTTTCAATCGTCAACTTCCCTTACTTATGCAGCAATATACCTTCATCACCTGAATACGGGGTATATATCTCTCAGTTGATTCGATACGCAAGAGCATGCTCTACGTATGTACAATTTCTAAAACGAGGTAAATTATTGACAAATAAGTTGATGATATCAGCTGTCTCGTTTAAAGTCATCATTTCGTAAGTTCTCTGGTCGATACAATGACCTTGTCAGCAAATACAATTTATCATTGAGTCAAATGCTGACTGACGTTTTTCATACTAATTGTTAGGCCATTATTTACACACTGAATTGCCGACGAATTTTTCCGTTATTTCCCGATCATGACAAGGAGCACACTGCGGGTGTGACCGGTCGGCAGGGGATGCTCACTCCTCCATGGCACTTGATCCCACCTCTGATGTTTGGAGGTCCGTGTTTGCTCTGCTCCTATTTTGTATTGTATAATGGACTTTTGAGCTTGAATACTGTTCGTTATCTCCATATATTTCATTCTCATCAATCCAGAAGTAGTTATGAATTGCTTAATATCACGTATATCATCGTAGATTGCAATTAGTACATATATATATATATATATATATATATATATATATATATATATATATATATATATATATATATATATATATATATATATATATAAACAGATCAACATCATTTTTGGTCTAGTGGCCTTCTTCATGATGAATGGCTTACCCTCCATTATTTTTTTTTTTACAGGCAGTGATACTTAAAACCTACCCGTTGCTTTACAACGAGCTTTGCTCTACGTATTATTGTTTTTTTCTTACCGATTTTGTGCACGCGATTTCTCGAAATTGGGTCGATGGATTTCCGTGAAACTTTCAGAACTTATGTATCATCACTTGAACCTTATGCATTTTGATATTCTGTTTTGATTATGTCACTTCCGGTTCGGAGATATTGTCGATTTAATGATTTTTGAAGGGTCGGGTTGTCCTGAAATTTTCTTATGAATGGTTCTAGATAGAATCATGAAACTTTTAGGTATGATATACCTATGTCTGCAGATATGCGTAATGTATTTCATTTTTACCGGAAATGCCGCACGTCGGCGCTCGCTATGGTCCGAAAAAAGGAATATCGAAAATTTCAACGCTTTTTCTACAATAGCTTTTCACCTGTAATTAATTTGTTAAAACGTGTGGAACATAATATATATATATATATATATATATATATATATATATATATATATATATATATATATATATATATATATATATATATATATATATATATATATATATATATATATATATATATATATAAAACTACAAGACCTTTCATCCACTATCAACAAAAAGGGGCTGTCCCCTAAAAAAAAAGGATCTAGAGGGACCGAAAGTTTTTTTTTCTCAGTTTATCAAAAACGCGCGAAGATTTGTCAGACATATTGAAGCAAAATTGTTCAAAATAACTAGGTGCAGCTGGTGGGATCATCAAAAGTCGTCTAATGACGTCCTTTCCGGTAAAACAGGAAGTAGTCAAAAATGCATATTATTTAAGTTTGTACACGTTCATGTGTCTTTTGAGTCATCGGAAGCGTCCAAACTCATTTTAGGCCGATCGATGTCACTTCCGGTTAAACCGTAAATAGTCAGAAAAGGCTTATTTTTGTAGGTATTGGCAGATAATTGAATGATTAAAGTCATTGGAGATGTCCGATATATATATATATATATATATATATATATATATATATATATATATATATATATATATATATATATATATATATATACATATATATATATATATATATATATATATATATATATATATATATATATATATATATATATATATATATATATATCGAACGTCTCCATATCGGACGTCTCCAATATATATATGATTTTATTGTCTTCATTATGTGTTTTGAATAATTTTTAAATGTCTTTGATAAATATCATATTTTAAATATTAAATAAAACTATGTGCATTTATACAAATCAAGTCATACTCCTGTTAATCTGAATATTAAATCTCGGGGAAAAGAACAAACTTGATTTATGCTATGGATTTGCTACCCGAATTTCACACCTTCACAAAAGTATCCCGTTGGATATCGAGTACTTTGAAGTAAAAGAGAATACTTTGTTAACCAAATAGTGTGTTAGCATGAACAAATATCACGATTTTATTTATGAACTTGTGTACATGAAATTTGAACATTACTGGTCAAAGCAATTTCATTTGAACGATAAGTTTCAGTTAAATTTATGAGCGCCGTTCAAAAATTACGCGGACTCTGCTATGGTTTACTCTTACGGACGTTAAATAGTAATGAAATTTCATAGAAACACATTTCTTAAACATTCCAATAAATTGTTGGCAAAAGTTTTGGATTTTTATAAAGAACTAAGTACGTTACGTATTATTCGAAGGCCCACAATTTTTCGTATTTTGATATACAAGTTTGCAAAAATATAACTACTATGTACATGTAGAAGAAGATTGGTAGTTTTGATATATGCAGAACAAAATTTCGCAAGTACGTTGATTAGAGGTATTCACAGGATTTAAACATCCGTTCTTTCCGGAAATTGCTATTTTTTTCCACTATTTTTACAACAAATTCCCAAAATTGAAGTAGTGCACACCCCTCGAGCAAAATAAAACATATATATTTGAAAATAATTTGATAAAAGACAAGCAAAAGTAATGGTAAGAATTTGCTCGAGGAATGTGCAGTATGTTAATTTGGACATTTCATGACTATTTCCGGTGGCGGATACCAAGTTAGTCGAGAGGCGAGTTCTTATCTAGGAGCAATAATAATGGTGTATTTCGTGTAATAATGTAAAAGAAATAATTTTATCATTGATTGACCATATTTATATTGTTCATACAAATATATTTGTCATGAAAGTAGCATAAAAACTAAAAAAATGTTTTATAGAAATGACAAATTACGATATTTTTTTAAAC